TAAGTGTTTAAAAATCCACTAATTGAAACCAACATAACCTAACCTAACCTTTGCGTTTTATATGTTTTAGGACAAAAACATGGTACGACCTAGAGGAAGATACATGGCTGTAACGTTCACCGATTGCAGTGCTATTGAACTCGTGACAAAGTACAACGTATAACAACGCATCTAACGCGTTTAGCGTCAGCGTTGTGTTCCTGGCGCGACGAGCGGCCACGTTTATGGCATCGTTGCGGCCGCGGTCATCGTCGGTACCTGTGAAATGTCAGCCGTTGTGCGGAGATCGTAAACGCGATTTGGAAAGGTCTCCAGAGGCGGCCGTTCGTCGACGATTACGATATCGTCGAGTAATCTGTCCTTGTTATCGGCTGCGCGTGGATCGGGAACGGATGTAACGCTACGGGGCGCGAAATACGAGTGAGGATTTTTAGAACGCGACAAACGCGTGTTGCTGATGCCAGATTTGCGAGGATCGAGAACAAATCGCGATTAAATAAGAGATATATTCCACTGAATTTATGTTCACCTACTTTTGCTTACGGATATTACTGGTACCTTTATTGAGGTTAGGTTTGCATGTTAATTTTATAGGTTAACGAGATTTTCATTCAACGTATTTCACGTGGATAGTGTTGAATCGAGAACGATCCATTGACCATCTTTAATTAGTAATAATAGTCTATAAGGAATTAAAAATTAAATATTACATGATATGGAATATTTTCTGATTTGTGTTTATGAGCAATTACTCGGTAATGTTATTAAATGAAATATATATATATATATACACAAGATAAATAATTATGATTTCTTATGAAGTTTTCCACTTTTATCTTTATCCTATATGGGTATCCTTATCAGGTTCCTATATTGGACATTCTACCTGCATCATTGTATATACACAGTTATGTCATGGTGCGTAAGGTAATTCCCGTAGCCGGAATAGACTGTATCTCTCTTCTAGCGGAAAGGTAGGAAAATAATGATAGAGGCATTCTTGTACGGTCTAATAAAATGTGCTTTTCTATAGACTCCTTTGTCGGAAGAAATTACATGCTCGCTTCACGACAATCGTGTTCCTATATGCAAATGCCCTTATATCGTAGCTGAAAGCATTAAGATAAATGAAAAAGATAGCGTAATGTATTAGGGTGTTCTAAATAAAAAATATTTTAAAACAAGTTTGATCTATCTTCTATTCATTTTAAGGCTAAGAACTAAGTGTAAGTCAAGTCTAAGAACTAAACGATCCTAATAACCCATTTCTAATAACTCCCACTTATTTTTTCGCGCCGTATGTAGCGCAATACTACTTGCGCGTGCTTGAAAACGAACGATAATAGCGCGGGAAACTCGCATAATCAGTCACTGTTTAATCTCTCGACGTGCAGCATTTACAGGAGGTCGAATTTCCTGATAATTCCTAGACGGTATTCAACTTCAAGCCTCATTGGTCAAATTAATTCGCGCTGAAGGCGTCAATTTTGATTGAATTTACATACATTAAGATTATGTCGCAGCTATACAGTATATGGTTGGTAGAGAAACAATTTTGGCTTTAGAATCATATAATCTTTAATGATCTTGAAATTCATACGTACGTTTAATCTCCTGATGACAATACTTTGATATAATAATAAAATAAAAATTATATCGGCACTGATTCTTTGTCTACGTCAGTGTTTTATCACTGTCCCGTTTGATCTCAATGTGTTTTATTCCCTCTCTTGTCACGTGATGAAATATGGTCCGATTCGTAGACGTGACACTTCCAGCCAATAACGAGAATCCGTGTGACCTATCTTTACGACTGTGTTAGAGAAGGAGGACCTATTACACAGTGGCCAATCAGAACCACATTCCTTCCGACTGTCAACTCGCTAACCGCGCACAGTGCGGATTCGTCCGTCTCTCTCCCCCACTCGCGTGACCTCGCACGAGGCACGTTCGAACCCGTTTTGATAGCAACGAACGAAACCAGGGAACGTGTGCCCCTTCTTCTTCTCCTGTGTCCTCAGAATGCAGCCGGTCCGTCGCTTTAATCCGCCGTGTTTTGGGTGTTCGCCCGACCCACCGAAGGTGAACGCACTTATTAAGAAGTCGCCGGATACCAAGGCAACCGTTCGACCTCTCCCGTCCCTCTAGCGACCGTTATCCAAACTTCTTGCGTGCGTGTGGCGTCGCCTTCGTGTGCGTTCCGCTGTGTCTGCTTTAAATCTTCGACACGACTGGACCCTCTCGTGCTCTCCGATATTTTACGGTTATTTTGTTTGCTTCTTTCTTTCACTTCCCTTTTTTTCCTTTCTTTTACTCTTCTTTTTCTTCTGTTTAGGTTCTCTTGGAGGTAACCGATTTCACGTTTCCACGAGCGGAGGTCTTAATTGGAAGGTTAGAACGCTTTTATGAACACAAAGAGATCGTGTATTTATTTGCACCTATATAGTATACGTATCTATCGAAAAATAATCCGCGGAGAACCTCGTAACGTACGACACAGCGTAATTGGATTTTCGAAGATTATTCTTGAAAATATTTGGAATTGAAAGTATTTAAAAATAGATAGTTCAAAATCGATAGTTTTAAGCTAACATTACGCGGTAAGTAATTGCTTTGTATATAAATAGGATTAGGTTAGGTGTTTCAACAAAGTTTGGATTTTATACCTGACAACTTTCAATCGCTTTACGTCATTTACCGAGAATTTGATGTGTACTTTCTTCGTAATAAGATATAATTAAATTATTTTGTAAATTACTTCAACGCAGATTAATGCCACGCGTCAAAGTCCCGAGAAGAGTCAGCTTAGATTGTAATAAAAATTACTCACAGGAACTCCGGGACGCTGCGTCACTCCATTTACATAAAGCTGCAACAATTTGTATGAAAGGTACCGAGGAAACCATGGCCTGCTAGTGTTTTCTATTTTTCGATTTTTATTTTTAGTGTTGCGATAGCACGATTCATTTCCAATTAAAATAAACGTCTTCTCCACCTTTTGTTACATAACATAAATTTTTCAGCGATAGAATACAATGTTCGAAGTATATCTAATTGTTTTAATTTAAACTGATCGAAGGTACAACCAATAATTTATTCAAGACACGGAAGGGAATCGTCTCTGTCACTTTACGAAGAGCTCTGAGAAAAAAGAAATTGGAATTTTGAGGTTAAATAACATTAAACACAATGTCTTATTGGATCACTCGAGAAACACGATTAGGTTATGTTTACTGCAACGATTCGATACCAAGAGAGGATACAGAAAATACGTTAAGATGGATAAGGATAGAAAAACAGTTGAACTTTACCCCCGTTCACGCTTACATACTAAAAATATTAATTGCATATTAAAAAATAAAAAGAACAGAACGTGTATATACACACTGGTGGAACTTAAAGTTAGTAGAGAATGCCTGCGAACATAACCCCTGCAATTATGGTACTGAAATCGATAACCGATATCGAGTCATAATATATTTATTGTACGTCGCCATTAAAATCGACTCTTATTCTTATACCCTGAAAGCTTACTTCTTATAATTTATCCATCTATTAAAAAGAAGGCCATGTCAGCCTATTAATATTTACTTTTTGTTCCATACTTTTCCTGTCCATCGAACTTTCCTTTTACGCAATAAATAATACGCATATTATTAGACGAAACGCAGAAGTAAATTATTTTATGCGAAAACGCTTTAATATCACTGGCAGTAGAAAACGTGAAATCATCTCCGAAACTGTCCCAAATTATGAACACGACGAGGAAGAAAATGCAACGAGGCGATCAGATGGTTCGAGTAACGTAATCTCTCTAGAATCCACTTAGTAAAATCGCAAAGATTCTTTCTTCACGCACAATGGCTGCTAACGAGAGGCACTCACACACGTATCAGCACGCACACTCATCTGTCAGGCCGTGTTCCAACTCGCACTACTTCAGTTGGTCGAACCGTCGACGCCAGTCGACCTAACCTCGACGAACGAAAGTTTCAATTTCCGCATCGAGTCATCGTGACAGTTCTTTTTCTTTATGCGAATAAATGGTACAATATATCGTTTGAGCTCGAGATAAAGGCGAACAACAGTCCGATGCAAGTTGGAACGCGGTCTTGTTTATCAACTAAGTTATACAAGGTCTGTATTCTTTTGAAACTCGAATCGATGCTTGACTGAACGGCTAGGTGTCGCTGTCCAGCGACGGCTTCGTTTACGTTCGTGCGTTATCGGCCTGGAAGATCGTGCGCTTCGTCGAGCGCGTAAAAAGTATATTTAACTCGTTGAAATCCTTTACTTTATACGCATATCTATATTTTCGCACAATTCTTTTCTTTTTTTTTTTTTTTAAATAACCATCGAAGATCGTAATATACAGAATATTTAAGATCATTATTTAGCGATTACTTCACGACGTGACAAAGGAAAGTATTTTCTTCATTTATCAAGGCCATATCAAGGTCATTCTTTCAACCAACATACCTTTTTATCTTTGATTGACAAGCAAAAACGAATGCGACAGATAACCTTGAAATGACCTCGAGGTAATTAAAAGTTGTGAAACAGAACAGATACCCTGTATAGTATAAATCTTTGGATGAAAAATCGATACGAAGCAATAACCGTTTCACATTCGACGATTCCGACCCACCGGTACGAGAAGTACGAGGTGAGAAAAGAGGCATGTCTGTCGGGCCAGCTGAGAAGGCATCAGGCGTGCTCGAGCGCGACAGGATTGAACCAGTGCTCATGCAGCGACATCTTGTGTTTCGGGTAGCAAAAGAATACGGAAATGCGGTGTGGCAACAAACGCTATACAGGCCACCGTAAAACGCAGGTACATTTGGTAGTGAACGAGTCCATCGAGCATTTTGACCGATGGAGAAGAGAGAGCGAGAAGAATCGAGCGTCCGAAGTCCGAGCGAGAGCCGGTCGAGGCATTGGAACACGGCCAGTCAGTCACTTCCTGAACACACCACCAGATGTCTTGAGGAGCCACTCACCTGCAGCCCTGTTACAAGCCTCCTTGGTCTCGTTCAGCTCCTGCCTGATGCTCGGTCCGTTGCTCGTCGTCGAGGTACTCTGCATGTCCGCGTCGAGCACCTTCAAAACGACGTCTCGATCGCGATTGGCCGCAGCAGTCGTGCTCGTAATCGTTCCGGTGCCGGCGCCACTGTTCAGCAGCCGTGCACCGTTCCTCGACATGTCGAGAACGTCTCCAGGTCGTTCCGCGATTGGCAACCCTCGCCCCGAGTCCGCCATCGAGCTGCGCTGCTGTTCCTGGAGCAAGCAGGCGCTCGACAGCAGGTCCCATTGTCGTAGTTTCTCTCGGTCGAGCTCGAACGCCGTGGCCGCCGGCCCGGACACCTGCTGCGTCGTCTCCGAGATCGAGCGAACCGGGGGAAGGTTGCCTTCCTCTAAAAAATGATCCCTATCCTCGGCGGTGGCTTTCCGGTATGCCTCGTTCTGCGCGTCCCACACGTACCCGCCCGCGTGAATCCGCTCCATCGACAAGCTCTCGTAGGTTAGGTCGTCGACCATGTGGTCCCTGTCTTGCTCCTTGTTGGCTCTGCGTTTCACACGGGGTCTATCCGAGGAATCCTCCAAGCAGTTCTCTCTTCTTAAGATCACGCTGTCATTCACGTAGGTGGCGCCACGAGTCACTTTGTTCCGTCCTTTTGTGTCTGAGCCGGACACAGTGGGTCTTGGGGGACTGTCCAGGTTGTCCAGAGATCTAGCGTTCCTTAGACTGACTCTTCGAAGGCTTTCTCTCCAGAGGGAGTCCTGTTCCCAGGGATCCTCGATGTTGAAGCCGTTCGACGTAGAAACGTTACCGGTCTCCATGTCCGGTGGCGTTTCTTCCATCTGCGTAGGCTGAACAGTCGCTACACGGTTGGTCCTGTTCCTCTGTTCCATCAGATTCTGAAGACCAACGTCGTCCAAGAGACCTTCCAGAGACCTGGACCTTCGATGCGACGTCTGGGTCGCTAGAGTCAGCTCGAAGGTGTCTCGGTTGTTTGACTGGCTGTTCGACTTGTCTCGGAGACCGTGAGGGTACAGGTTCCTGGTACTGATCTCTGCCGAGGATATGTCAGGCAAGGGATCAGTGGACTTCACCCTTCTGAGAGTATCGGCTTCGTAGAAGTTCTTCTTGTCCACGAGATCCACTTTGTTATCACCTAACAGCTGACAGGTCGTCTTCCTGAGTTCTGCGGCTATTCGCCTGGCTTCGTCTATGTCGTCCACTTGGATCTGTCTGGGCATTTGTCTGGAAATGGGATTCACGATACGCCCTATATCGTTCCTCTTGTTCAATGCAGATGCATCGTCTCTTTGATTATTTAATTGAGGTAACCTGGACGTATGACCGATCGGTTTCACCGAATCTGTGTCCACTGCATTTACACTGGCTTGGAGGTCCGAATAGTAATAAGGAGCACCCGATTGTTCGCTCTGAGGACGTGGCTCGGCCGGCAAATATGATTGCGGTGCAGGATTCGCTTTAACCGTGGACGTTGAGGTCGGGTAATGACTGGAATCCTGACTGGACGAGGATCTATGGTTCGATATCATCGAGTACCTAGCAGAATCCTGACTGGCCGACCTGGAGTGACTTTGGAACCTCTGATCGGAATAGGGACTCGTGTTCTGCACCATATTGGTAACCAAACTGTTCCCATGGCTCCCCATGGACATCGAACCGGTAGGAGAATGCATCGAGGACTGTGCACTGGCAGGTCTCTGACAGGCCATGGAAGTAGAGATGGAAGCAGCTCCAGAGGCTAGAGAGTAACTCGAGTCTCTGCTATGCGAAGCTGTCAGCAAATTGTTTTGCGATCCTCTTTGGAGCCTAAGAGTATTGTCTCGCGCGTGATCGTTGTCCGATCGGACTGCAGGAGAGTTCCTCAGCGGAGAAAAGCTTGAGATATTCTCGTAATGAGTGTCTCCGGTGAAGGACTGCGAATGCTGATGAGAAGGAGGAGCGTCGCACACTCTCATGGAGGGTAGGCTACTCGCCGATCCCATTTTATTCGTTGCACCGTATCTCAGAGACTGGTGCAGATTACCGAACCCCAGATTGACCTGCCTCGACAGATCGTGGCAAGTGGTTTTCTGAAGTTTGTCCACTACCATCATGTTCTCGTTAAATCCGTAAATACTATTATAGCTGAGGTCTTTCGCGTACAAGTCTACGTTGAAGGCATCGCGAGCCTGCAGCTCTTCCAGGTACTGATCCAAGTCGATACTGGCTCCATCGAAGCGACTCCCAAGAGACTCCAATTCGTCCAAGCTGTCCAGAACTTCGCACACCTCACTGACAGGTCTCGTTTTCAGTTGTCTATGCCTCGCTTCTTCCTCGGGTGTCCTTAATTCTACCGAATCACTTCCGGACGCACTTTCCAGAGAAATTCGACTGTCCCTGAAGGTAGAACTGATGGTGGCGTCTGAAAACCTCGACGGGGGTCTGTGAGTCTCGATCTGACCCATCGGTTTGTTCCACGATTTCGGGGAGTCTCTATTCGAGCTGTTGTCTTTCATCACTGCTACCTGCGGAGACACCTTCTTAATCTCTAGGGACTCTTGCATGTCCAACGAGTCCAAGTCGTCCAACGGAGGTGGAGAAGTTGGGATCGGTGGAGGAGAAACCAGTTCGCTGTCGGAGGAATCGTGCAGTTCCGCGATCATTGTTCGACTAGCACCCAAGTAATAAGAAGCAGGCCTGAAGGTATCGGACAAACTGAACCTAGGATGCCGTGGAGCGTCGATGGAGTCGAGATCTTTCGAGGATTCGTCATCGGCATCGGAACTGTCAGACTTGAGTGCAGTTAGAATATCAGGAAGATCGGTCCTCGAATGCGTGGAGTCTTCGTGAGATCTTTTCTTTAAGGACATCTTCCCACTGTCCTGGTCATCTTTCTCCGACAACTGACTAACCTCCATGTACACTGGCTCCATTTTGCTATCAGAAACGCAGACAAACTCGTAGTGAGGTGTATCCAAGGTAGAATAATCGCCGGAATCGTGTTTCCCATTCTCTTCCGTGGGTGCTAGAAGAGAATGCGTCATACCATTCTGAGCCATCTCTACGTAAGAGCTCTCTTCGTGTCCCAAATTACCAAACAGGCTCTCCATCATCTTTGGATTAGGTCTATCGTCATTGGGATCCAGTATAGCCTTCCTGGGAGACATGGGAAGGTAGTGTTCCTCTGGACTGACGTTCTCCTGCTTCACTGTGGGACTGATGGTTCCACTTTCTCCGGAGAAACGATCGCCATGAGTTAACAGAGACTCGGTAACGCTTAGTCTAGTACAGCTAGGGTTGGACAAGACGTCTAGGTCCTCTGTAGGAATGGCTTGATCGCTTATACTCTCCTTGGAACACGACCTTTTCTTGCGTCTGAAGGAAACGTCGCCTTTCTTCTTCGTCGTGTCGGTGTACATCTTGTGGTCACTAATGGGTTCAGGTACAACTTGATCCACTTTCATGTCCCTCTCGTTCTGTGCATCCTCGTTCTTATCACGCTGATCCAGGTCGCTTCCTGTGTCGTACAGCAGAGCCTCCGAGTCGCTGAACACCCCGCGGTGTTTCACCTCCTGACGTCTACCGTACTCCTGTCTCTGAACCTGTTGAGACTTCCTCTCGAAATCAGCCAGCAAATCCTTCACGGACTTGTTGCTGTCCGTGGACGCTTGTTTGGCATGTCCATCTTTGATGCATCTGTACTTGGACTCCTGAGAGTCGGAATCACCTAGAGCAAAGTTGCGGATTATCGACGACGTCTTCTTCGAGCAGTCCAGTTTAGAAACATGGGCCTCGGTCGCTTGAAGGGGAGACAGCTTCAATGGTTCCTGCATGGCGAGCACCTCCTTAACCGGACTGGAACAGTCCATGTTCAGCTCGAACGAGCGTATCCTACACTGGACCAAGTTCATAGTTTCCGATTTATCCGGAGACCTGTCCTCCTGCGAGTCTAGCTCTTCCTTAGGCTTAATGTATTGATAAGAGAACTCCTTGATAACCTTACTCTCGTCGATATTAGAATCCCAATCGTCCGTTTCTTTCTTCGTGGTCCACTGGACAGTCTTTTGAGCAGGCCAGGTCTCAGTCGCGTATCCTGTCGAGGAATTCGAGCTCTTCCCACTCTGCTCGGCACCGTAAACCGTGGAAGTCTTCAAGATTCCTGACGGCTTTTTCTTAAACTTATCCTCATCGAAGGAGGACGCATCGTGGTCTTGCTGATCGTTTCTTGGGGTAGACCTTTGCTCGGAGGAATGATACGGTGGGGAATTATCGGTTCTTGACACGGAGGGGAAGCTAACCTCCTCGTACCCGGCGTCTGGGGGTATTCCACCCAGATGGGGCAGGACAGAAGCAGCGGGATTCGTTTGTCGATCGGTCGAGACTCGGAGAGCGTTCTGACTCTGGCGGCCGCTTCCGGGGATGACGTCTTGGAGCGGATTTCCCGACGAACGATTGTCTCCGTGCTGACGGGGGCTCCTTCCAGCATGCGAGGGTCTGCGCGTGCGCTTCCTCCGGACATCTCCCAGCTCTGATTCGTCCGTTACAAAACAAACACACGAGGACGTTCGTTACTCACGAATGTGATTAATGACAACCCAACCCTCTCGATACAGTTCAAGCTTAGGTACCAAGCTGGGATCGATCCTGATCGTTACGGGAATGATTCCGTACTTGACAATGACTTTTGTACATAACGAGGTGTCTCGCCAAGTGATCCATATCGATCAAAGAAAGCGTGTAATGCCGATCTAGGTATAGATGATCCTGCTAAATCAACAACGAACCAATCCCGCAACGATCCATGAACCGATCCGATGTGTTCTCGATCACTCGGCAACAGAGACAGGTATTACGAGCTGGAAGGTAAATGGCGGCCACAGTTGAACGCCTCTACGATAGTGTTAGTGATATAATCCTCGACATGCCATGCTGACCCACATCTTGCAAAGTAGTACGGCACTAGTACGAGTATTAGGTCGTAACGGACGGTTTCGCTAGTTAAATTCCAAAGGTGTTAATCGTTCCCATTCACCAGTCAGCCCAGACCCAACAGCAGCAAAGAGAAGGAGCCCCAACGGAGAGAATGTTTGCAGATTCCGCTCTTTTTTATTTTAAACAAAAATCTTTTTTTTTTCTCTCAGTTTCCTTTCACCTTTCTCAAAGATCCTTGCTATCTACAAACTTGATCTACCCCTCGACGAGGGGCGGCTCGGCGATAGAGAAAAGAACAGCTAGAGAAAGATAGGAGAGCACAGACGAAGAAGTTCTGAGCGTTGTAGCAGCGACGTCCGCTCGTTCTCGATCGCAAACACGTCGCTAGAACATATATCGCTTCTTTTTCTCGTTTCATTTCGACTCGTGTGAACGTTCGTAACTCGTGTTAGTCTCGAGGAGTTAATCGTAATTACGTGTGACGCAAGGGATTCGTGATGCACGCAGATTAATTCGACTCTCAGACTGACTCAAGGCACTTTATTTAAAAAAAGAGAAACTGGTACGTGGTAGTAAGGAAAACGTATCAATTCGTCTCATGCGCAAACCAACGTCACGCTCGTTCCTGTGCGAAGGTCTTTGCTAACGTGTCTCTAACGCGACCTCTCGGCTCGTGCAACACCATACAGAAGCGTTTTTAATTTTGAATCCTTTTAAATTCCATCTCGCAGAACACACGCGTGAGTACGTCGACCGTGTTAGAGCGGTTATACGGGTTAGAGTTTGCTATCGTACTTAGTACAGTCCAGCTATCTACTTAGAGTTCTTTCAGTCGCAGGGGCACGTTCATGGGACCTGGACTCTAAAACAATGTACACAGATTACCTAAAAACTCTATATATAACGTTTCTCTATAGACTGAAAAATTGGAATAGTGTTTGAAAAAATATATCACTTACACCCAAACACCAGAGAACAATGCTCCTAGTTAATCATGGAATTTGGTCCGAAGGTAACTCACTGGATCCTCAGTTTAGAGGCTAAGATTCTAGAGAAGCTTATCCATCTACCGAAAGCAAAGTGGTCCCAGGAACGGCCCGTATCGGAGAAGCCACAACTCAGATAATAAGTTCAGGCGAGGTGTCCCTACCTTCGTCGTCGCTGGAGTAGCTGTTGTATCGCGAAACGTTGGCGACAGTCCGGCGGCCGTCTGTGCTCTTGCTACGGACGTGTGGCCGATGACCATCCTCTCTGCGCCGCGAATGACGACCCTCTGCGACGGAGGCCTCGTGAGCAGCCAGCTCGAGCAACGCCTGCTGCTTGTAGTAGCTCGACAGCTCGTTCTGCGCGCGACCCCTGTTTGCCGAGGCAGATGGCTTCCGGGTTAGCGGAGACTGCAGCATCCGCTGCTTCCACTCCAGCAGCCGCTTCATCGACTCCTCGCGCTGTAACCATATGCATCTTATAGACACCTGTCTTTCCGGGGTGTTCCGGCAGAGGGCGTTGAACTCGCTGGGACTATCTCATTTAACACCAGATTTACGGAACCCGTCAATTTGACGGAAGGGTTGCTCCAATTATACGATGGTAACAGATTTAGTTAACTTAGATTAAGACTGTTAATATACTATATAGTTGTTTTTAAATTAAACTAATCGCTACGAAAAAAAAGGGCACGTGGTTTCCTTTACCCGTCAATTTGACAGGTGTCCTTAGAAATAGGTATACAGATAGCCTCCGTAAACCTAGTGTTAAATATGTAAGATATATACAAAATATAAAATTAAAATATTGTATAATTCACTTCCTGGTCATATGAAACTCTATTTCTGAGAAAGAGCAATTTTTTAAAGTCTTACAAGCCTCCAATAACATAAAAATGATTTAAAAATTAAAATATCACTATACATATATTTATATAAGTATAGACTGGATATTTTAATATTAATTATTTTCATTATATTAATATCAATATAATAAATATACTTTGCATTTAAATATGTAAAGTATATTGTAATGTATATCATTCCAAATATTCGTGCCTCGTAAAAATTCAAATCTAGTCGTCGTACAATGTATTAAGAATCGTATGAGCAATGTCAAACGATCGATCAAAAGAGAATAAAAAAAAATCCGCGTAAAGTAAGAAGGAAATTCGAATTCGACGCACGAAGGGATACGAGGAAGTCGGTTCGCGACGCGCAACGTTTCACGTTCGTGGAAGCGCGCGAACGCCGCTCGCAGCGATGACGGGGATCGAACGGACCGCAGTGAAAGCAGAATCACGGAACGCGACGTGACATAAATGCCGGTACCCGACGCGCAGGTTGCACCTCCGTATGAATCATCTGCCCGAGAGCCTGCACGGCCTACGAATTGTCCTGTCCATCAACTACTCGACCAACACGGTTTACGATTACGCCAAAGAAAGCGAACCGACGATTTATGAGTCATCTCTGAGCAAGCTCGCTCACCTTTGGGAATTTGTAACGCGTTCCACAGATATCCGGTAGATGTCTCTGGAATCTCGGGAGCAGTCCACGCGCGATTCGCAAGGCTTCGCTGCGATATGTGTTGAGAAACGTTTCGTGGGTAACTGCTATGTCAGCAATGATTCATTGGCACTGATTTTGATCCGTGTTGTAGGTTTACGGATATTTAGGTGATACTGATACCGATTTTAATTGGCACAGAGTATTACTCGTAGATGTTTCCAATGTTATAACGTAACAGTCATAATATTGTATTCAATTTCTAGGTTAGTAATTATTACTAGGTTCTAGTATGAGAATAATGTATAAATTTCATGTTAATATCGATGTATATATTATTAAAATTTAACATTGTATCGTTAAATTTAATAAAAGAGGTAAAAATTAATTATAAAAGGGAATGGCTTTTCTGTTAAATTTTTCACATTTTCGTATATGTATTTTCGAGTAAAACATGGACAAATATTTAATGGTGGAGTACGAGTTGGTCGATATTTTCTGTTTAATATCACGCCCTTTCCCAAACATTAATAACAATATTTTTCCATCAAAGTGTATCTAATAAAAGTAAATTTTGTTTTCGAACTTGCGTTTTAAAGCTGAATACAATCGATTAATTCTTCAGTCAGAATCTAAATGTATGTTTTACTACTATATTTTTATATTTATATTTATGAAAATTTTCTTTCCGATATATTAATAACGTAGAAAAATATTTTATAATATAATAATATACGAGTAGTCGTTTAAGATATTTTGAAAGGTAAATGTTTCCTAAGAATTCAACGGTTATTCCTTTACTTATAAAAATGCCAGACAAGAACGCGGAAGAACGTAGCTACTCGCGAAATAAACCTAACCTAAATCTTACACCGTGAATACAGGCAGAAAATGTTTACGTAAAAAGAACTCACCTGTCGTTAGAACAGTATCAAACACAATTTTGCGAAATTCCTTTTTCGTTTATGGTCAGACAGTTACATAGTAGTAACAGATGTCACATTAACAATAACTTCGAACCAGTCCGTTACTTTCTATAGCTCAAGGTTATACGGTAAGACACTAAACGAAATCCGCATTTCTGTGTATAACAAACTTCTCTTTGCACTAATCTCGACTTCAATTTTAATTTCAAACCTCAAACGTCAATTTCAATTTATATCCTCCACACACATTTTCGAAATAAACCTCGCGATTCCACCATGACAATTTTCCACGATAATCGGTATATATATCACGATACGCATCAAGCAGAGACACCACGCGGCAACGAGAACCAACTACCGAATACACGAATAAAACACAGGAACGCGGAACATCGGAAAACGCGACTGAACCAACCTGCTGTATCTTTCGTTCACCATCCCGCGAGTCCTGCTCGGAAGATCGTTCCCCGTAGTCGTCGTCGTCGGGGTCCAAGGCAGCTGGATGCCTGGTCCTCGGGAGTCGTGCGGACGCCGACCTGCAGAACTGTTGCTGCTCGTTCCATCGTCTGGCGACGGCGTGAGGAGCGTGACACGGTTGGCCCACGTGAGTGGCCCCCCCCTGGCCCGTGTGACTCGTCGCCCGACCGCCCCACCCCATCGACGATTCGTACTCTCGTGGCATTCTTCGCGGCACTGTCCCGTCCTCCCCCATGTGACTCAGCATTTCTCGGTTGCTCGGCTCGTAGCTCTTCTCCCGCAACGACCGCCTAAGCTTAGCCTCGTTGCTGTTTACCCTGGATCAAAGGACAAGTTCCGAACGTTTTGTAGGTTATGGTCGCGTTTAGTCCGGCGGAAGGTTCTAATTTTTTTTCATCTCACGAATGATGTATGTCTGATGCGTCATATGTTCCCTACATCAGAGCATACAGTGACGCGCCAGACATGCTATTCAATGGCGTGGTCTTTTTATTCGTTTTATTAATATATCTTTATTTGAATTTAATACACGAATAATTTCTTCATAAATAGAAGTCTACCAGAAGTGATATTGAGAAAATGGTACGTAGTTAAACATATATTCGTTCTTATTTGTACTCGACACCATTATTCTAAGAATATAAAGCACGTACAGCGTTTCTTGCAGATGTGCATTATCGATTTTCAGTTAAGTAAATGCAGTTGCTGGTTACATCAGGTGCGGAGAAAGCGTACAGGTATTGCAGTGTTTCTTTTATGGAAGTATCTTTACCGGTATGGTACTTTGAATTTTAAAAACATTGAACATAATTTCTAGTTCTGATCATAGATACAGAATACAATTGGAAATCTAACCTAAAAAGAAGAAACAAAAAGAAGGTAGAGTGAATATAAAATAAAACATTAATTATTGAGTTCCTTGACGTGTTTGTATTGTGACTAAATACTTCATACATAACCTAAAAAAGTTACTGGTTCAAGAGAAGTCTTTTTCATGATTCTTAGCATGCTTTATACAAAGAAAGGTGTCGAGTGAGTCCGGCATAAGAATTACTTTGTGAGAAAAAGAACAAGGGGAAGATTGAGGGACAGTGACTCACTCTGTGTGCCTTTGAAGCGATTGGTGAGGCATCACGTGTTGCTGATGAACGTGTTCACGTTGTCCTCGCCTCAGGCCAGAGCAGGAAGCTTCCGGCAGCGTTGCTATTCTACTTTCGTCGCTTCTGTCGCGGATTCCCGTTGCTTTCGACGGCATTGTTGCTCGGGAAAGTGATTGGTTCCTTTGTTGCTGATGATGCTGAGGCGTCTGATGGAGATAAACTGCGGACTGGCGCATCTGTGCCGCGTATCTGCATCGAATGTATCGTAAACCACATTGTAACTTTACATTGGAGGAAAAAATCGCTTACTAGGCCTCCTGTGATTTGCTTGTGACGAGAACAGTATAGTTGTTCTACACTACTAACATTTTATGACTCAGCGAAAGATACCATTAATCTATAAGCTTAGCAAATTACTTTTGTATAAGTAGTACTATCCTTTGTTTTTGTACAAAATATTTTCATCAAATTTCTAATTTCTCTTGTGTAAAACTTCTTTCTGTGTAGTGTTACATGAAGCTACTGGTACTGTCGTGCTTCAGAGACTTTGAAGAGCTTCATTTTCCTGCTACAAAATACATATAAATAATTAAAATTTGTGCTTTACTGTATACTACTATGTGAAATATTTTTGTTAATTATCAACTCTGTTATCAAGTCACAAGCAAAACTTTTTAATTTCCGTTATTGGTGAACTAAAAGATGGAAGAGCAACTTTCATCCACATAGGAATAAGATGACATAACGTTCGTTACCTTTCCTCAGAATAGAAGTAACCATCGTTCGTAGCGTCCGACGGAGTGACTATGTCTAAACTCGATTTAGGCCTCTGTGGACGTCTCTGTTGATTCAGTGATTCTTCGCACTGCGGTGGGATCTGCTGCTGAGGCTTTCTTGTCGCCTCATACTCCAAGAAGTCCGCGCTGTGCGGTCGCGGTGGTGGCTGCGCCCTCGGCTGCCTCATTATTGGCACTGAATCAAACCGGATTAACGATTCTTTTATGTGTGTCACGGTGCTAAAGAGCGATTCCAAACAAAGACTACAATAGAATTTTCCACACTTTTTCTCCCATGTTAATTACCGTTGTCCCACATCAGTCTGAGAATTTAGAAAGTTTTCCTACAGCGAGACCGTGCTAATTTCTCTCTATTTAGCGACGTTGTATGAAAGAAAAGGAGAAAGGAAAGAATCATTGGAGATACTAAATAAGTAATATTCCAGTGTCATTTTAATGGCACCCGTAGCCTGTTTTAAACTTTGCCATGTGGTACACAGGTTCAATTTCCAAAAGAAATTTTGACGACGACTCTATGACAATATTTCTGGAAATTTTAACAATTCTTTTCCTTTTACTTTCTTTGTACTTCGTTGTGATCACATACGTTATTCTGAAAAAGCTTGGAACCAAAGCTTCTAATCATGTATCTATATTTATAAGTCTTTGTGTTGAAGAGTTGTTCAATCAAAGATTAAATATTTAATAAATAATAAAAATGCTAAATCAGAGTACTGATTCCAAGCCTTTCGTTCGGCACATACACGACCAAAAGCTAGACCTCAGACCAAACTACTCACTATTAGAAGGCGTGACGGGAGAATGGATCTGCTGCTGATACTGCTGATGTTGTTGCGCGTACAGCGGAATGGGGATAGGTGCTGGCGAGGACCCTTTGGTATAGCCAACAGGTCCAGCCGGCCTCTGATATAACTGAGGTGCCCCATAAACTTCCTCGTAGTCACCGTTCCCCCTGCCCGATCTCGGTTTCGCTGCACTGCGCCCGTACATGTCCGGCGTGCGCCTCTCTGCCTGCACCTGGCTATAGCCGTAATTCAAGCCCGATTTATCCGTCCTCAGACTCTGCTGCGACGGCTGACTCATCCTCGTCCCGTAGATCATGCTGCCCCTATCGTAGTCCGACATTGGGCTCTTGCTGGTCACTGTCACGTCTGGTGACACCGGTGACTTCCGGTAATCCGGGTCAGGCGATGGAGTCGAATATTCGGTGGATCCATCGGTCAGTCTTCTAGGCTTCGGTGGGGCGTTAGCATAAATCGGTTGCCCGAATTTTCTCGGCATGGGCTGGACAGTCTGTACGTTGCTGGCGGTCAAATGGTTCTGAGATTGCTGCTGCTGGACGACGTGCTTCAACGGATGGACCTGATGAATCTGATTGGTATTCTGATGGGTTAGATGCTGATGAAGCAACGCTTGGTGCTGATGCGCGTGTCCTTGCTGCAGTTGTTGGGAAGAGGGTATCAACTGTCCATATTGTTGCTGCTGTTGATGCTGCGACGTACTCGGCTGCCCATAGGGCGTTTGTTGCTGGATCCAACCGTTCACCATTGGCTGAACGTCGTTCGCGTTGTTATTGCCGGTATTGGCGATGTTGTTGTTATTGTTGTTATTATTGTTTCCATTGTTCGTGTTGCTGTTGCTGTTACTGCCGCTGAGGTTGGGAAAGGAGGCAGTGTTCACGCTGTTTGGACTGGAGTTGTTGTTGGACGCGTGGCTAGGGTCGTCCCGCGATTGGAAACCGTGAAACCCTGAGTCGCTGTCGTCGGCACTCTGGTTCAGGATCGAGGAGATCGAGGAGACGCTCGGCCTAGCGCTACGCTCGCCATCCTGCTGACCTGCTATCTCGATCACCACCGCTGCCTCGCCGGCTCCACTGAGGAATATTTTATTTATGATAATTATCCTTCGCTTTTATATTCATAGAATTATCCTAAAAGTTGTAACTATTAATGAGCTATACATTTCAGAAGAACTTTGTATTCTTCATGCAATTTCAATGATTTTTCTGACTTTCAAATGACCTTGATCGGTAGTGACCAATTTAGGTGGGCACCTGTTAAAATGATTTTAGCTTGTACTTATGTGACCTGAACAGCATGGTCCTTTTTATGACTTCCAAATGACAGGACTACGATGACTATCTTCATGATTTAATTTGTTTAATAGTAATTAATAGTTGCATTGATCTGTAATTTCTTTCTAAATATTGTATATATATATATATAAATATGGTTTGTTAAAAGAATATAAAAATGGAAAGTAATTAGGTAAATTTTTAGTTGAATAAAAATCAAAATTTATTTTACCCGAAGCAGCTGCACGCTTTCAAGAACCATTTTAACTGGTTTGGTAGTTCTAGTGTTAAAACTCAATCGAATTTGCATCTCGTCCTATACCTGCCCTGTAGTCTATAAACGAAAATCTAATTTTCGCAAATAATTTTAACGATGTTGACATTAAACGCTGTCAATCTACATGTTTCCTTTTGACACTAATTAAGACACGAAAGGAATAAACCGGCTGTTGCTGGTAATTATATTTTCAAACGCGTTTCGCGCCAAAGCAAGGGAATTTTCGTCGATGTTGCTCGAAATTTCATTACTTCCTTTAATTACCGAAATTCTTAATTAAATAAAGCTTTGTACCGAAATGAATTCGATATTATACAGGTTCGAAGGAAACTACTTTTATAATTAAATTTTAACAATTAGATTCTGTGCTAAATTTAACCAAGTAATGTTCTGATAAGGATTTTTGAACTTAACCTATAGATACGTTTCTATACACTTTTATATTTCCAAAATAAGAAACAGACGTATTTATAAAAATTAAAATGGATGTGGAATATTCTTTCTACGAAACGCTTTAAGTATTTAAGTATTTAAATGCTGATAAAGAACTAAAAAAATTTCACTCGCAACATCTTTCATTTTCCTCAACGAACCGTTTCTGCACAGTAGATGCATACAGCGTATAACACGTATACTTTCTTATTAATATTTTAATAAAAGCTAAGAAAGATCGAAGCACATGGATATTAACCAAAAATGTTAAAAGAAACGCAAAACGCATCGTTATAATTAATCCTTGAACCCTATTCTCCATAAATAAACGTATAATATTTCATAGATGACACTCGACACGTTTCGTCTGTTCGTCCGAGAAGCACGAAATCGAAGAATCTGTATCGAAGCATCAAAGCATTGAGGCACACGTAATCTCGTGACAGGCAAGCGACACGAGATGGCGCAGTAAACGTTTAATTCGAAAGACCGGCGTGCAAACAAAGATCAGTGGACCTCAGTTTCGTGCAGAGTTTCGTCGCGGTCGCAGAGTCGTTAGCTTTGAGATCGTGTAAACCGAGCGCCATCATTGGCCGTTAGGAAATTCGTTGCATTCAGCTGGCAAACGAAACACGGCCGTTTCGTAGTTTTTTAAGGGGGCACCGACAAACTCCCGACTGTTTATTCGTGGCCAACTTCTAGAAAGCAAACGAATGGACGAGTTGTACCGCGATCGAAACGAGAAGTTGCATCCCGGATACCTACGAACACGAATAGTTCGTTAGAATTTCTAGTCTGCGCAAAACAAAGCGAATTTCCTACTACTGGTTTGTGCAACAAGGTTTCTCATTTATCTTTGTTCATGCCGCTTAATTGCACAGCAAATGGTTGGATTACCAGTTGCATTCTTTTAGTTGGAAGAATTTTTGTTCGGAAATTACTCGGTTACCCTGTTCGAAAGGATCTGTTCCGTTGTTGGTACACACGTTTGTTAAATGAATAACTCAAGAGAAAGGAATGTTTTGTAATTATACTAATGAATTTAAACTGTCAAATATTTGTTTAGAATAGAGTGAGTATTTTAACCTTTGTTGCGTAAAGTATTTACAAAATTCACGGTATTATGTTATTCGACTGTCAATACAGGTTAGCAAAAATATTGCAAAGTATGCAAAATGTGTCGAGTTTTGCAAAGTGCATAAGAAATTACCGAAAAATTATGATGATATCAGATCATGCAGAAATGTCATCCATTCACAAGAAATAAAGTCATCTGTAAGTGTGACTTTTGCAAATTATTACAGGTGGCATAATATATTAACCTGTCTTGATTACATCTATCTGAATTAGAATTAAATTTGTGGAGGGACCATTGCATACAGAGATTATCAAATTAATACTATCAGTTGGTAAGTTTGCGATCTTTAAATCATACTACAATTTTTAACTTTTTTGCGTCGTGAAATAAAAATTCACTATATCGAATAAGAAAATAGGTTTCAAATTTGGAAACCGAAATTCGTTGTTAAATATTATAAAACTGTACGCAAACTATACCATCATTTTAATAAAAACTGCAAACTATTGAAACATATATCATTCAGAATTCAATGCGTTACTAAAAGAGAACGAATTTCGGTCGAAAGTTAAAGTAGCCTTAACTATGATCAGAAACGTCTGTTTTCCAGGGAGAACTGCAAGTATCTCGACAAGAAGGTTAGGAATAGAGACAGGCGATCGCTCAACGCGTTGATACGAAGTTGCGCGTGGAAACGGCCAGGCGACGTTGCCAGCAGAAACGAAAGACGCAGAATAAGAAATAAATGGCGACATAAAGAAATTGCGGTGATGCGAAATAAATGATTTTGTGTGGAACAATGACGCCAACAATACCACCTGCTGCAATGAAACTCGGTTCTTTGCACGATTAATTGAATCTAGATCGAATTCAATGGCTTTCCCTTCCGCCATGGACACCAGACATCGAACGACGAATTTATCGACCGATCACGCGATACGAAACGTCGTTCCACTTCGAAAATTTGCAATCGTTTGAAATTGTTTGAAATTGTTTGAAAGACCGGCAGTTTATATTGGCCGGTAAAAAGTTACGTGCAGTGGAAGTTATTGCGTCATAAAAGTGATGGTTCGTTGAATTCTTTTATTACTCCTTTTTTCAGTTGATTCTTTGAATTTTCTTAACGAGAAAATTAACAACTTTAGGTTTTCGATTTTTTCCTCTATTCTTTTTTAATCCTTTTGTTCTCTTTTATTTATTTATTTATTTTTGTTGATGCAGCGTAAAATAAAATTGTTATGCACAATGGAAAAAAGATTATACTTACGGGCTTGGATCCTGAAGAAGAGTCGCCAAAGTCAACGCGTTCACCCACTGATTCATGCTTTCACGACTGTCCGCTGCGAAATGATAAGTCCTCATGTTTACGTGCTCGGCTTTGAACGCAAACTTCCTATTAACTTTATCCTCAGGCTTGCACACGGTAACTCTGTACGATGGCAACAATATCGAACCCAATAATTTTTCCTCTTCCGGACCTGCAATCATTTTTATTTGGAAATCTTGTTTATTATCAATTTTTTTATAGATCATATGAGAAGTGGCCTATACAGATGACGCGCAAATCATATTTAACAACGCTATTCGAACGAGAATTTATTTGATTTATAAAGATAAATCTGGTAGTAAATAATTCGGTTCGTATTGGAGGAATGAAAATCAATCTAAGAACAGATGGTTCAATTCTATGTTATACTGAGATGCAACAGAATCTAGCATGCAGCATAAGGAATGAGGTAATTCAGTTTTCCTGCTTCTCCGAATTTCATCAGTGTTCCAAAAACTTTTCTCATTTCTCCTTCGTTATCACAGTAATAGAGTGTTGTTATTCTATTATATGTCTGTGCTAAGGAAAACAACGTACAAATACAATATGGTATATTCCAACGATAAAATGAGGCAAAACCTTGTGGTAGGATTACTTCGCGTCATTTCTATCCTTAACTAAAAAAAGAACGAGTTTTAACGTTGCTTCTGTTTCAGGAAATACTCGTAAATACCAGAGGAAATTCCATTTAAATAAATTACATGGTCTGTTCTGGAAGTAATGAATCTGTATTTAAAAAAAATTCTTCAAAATTCTCAGCTGTAACTACTTCATAGTACATGGCAAAGTTGCACAAAAAATGGTAAGTTTATCGCTTTAAACTTACGTCGAGCAATTTGTCCATATTCACCGAAACAAATACACAAAACGTTTTAAAAGCTTCTGCTGAGTACTCTCTCTCTAGCGTTAAGATTAAACGATCTCGAGAAGTTCATGCCGTCTGCCTCAATTCACTTTGCGCTGGGTCAGACGAGACGCTAGACAGAGGAAGAAGTTTATGACGAAAGGCAGAAAAAAAGCCGAGCCAAGAGGGTTGGCGTTCTCGTTTATTAACGAGAAATATTCATCCAAGTTCCTGGCCGTGCCATGTGAAATCCACGCGTGAAAGGAGATTCGAGGGCACGAGGGTTGTGCGAGTACCGCGAACAACCCTTCGAGAAACGAATCGCGAGATGACTTTCGTGTTTGCTTCTAGGAGTTTGCCGATGAACGTGAGAGGTTAGCGCGCCATTCGACGTTCCGATGGATCCACGCATGCGCGAAAGCGAAGATGTACGGGCTCAACCGGTGACGAATTGAAAAGAGAGAATTATTGCTTTTTCATATTGTGAGTTAAACCAGGTAAGTAAATGGAAATACTGATTGACTGTTGTTTAAATCAGAGTCTGTTTGTAACTGTATCAAATAATATTTAATGCTATGATTTTACAGTATTAAAATTCAAAACTGGAGAGAAAGCCAATACTGGGAAAGAAGAGGAACAACAGGCCTATAAATGGGAGCATTAGTCAAGAATAAAGCAAAGTTACATCAAGATCCTTTATTTTTTAATAAAAGAATAAGTTAAGACTGTAAGTAAATTTTGCTATATATGTTATAATTCAAAATTCTAAATAAGCAGAAATTCACAATTGTAACTGAATCCTTTTCTAGGACTGTCAGTGTCTACCAAAAACGATCATCAAATCGGTTAAAAAGCACTATGACTTCCATCAAACGGTGAAGAAGCTCTCAATCCGGCATCGATCGGAAAAATCGCATGGCATGCCCGGTAATGCCCAGTGACATGGACAAATGCGACAGGAAATCATTTCACAGACTGACAAATCGAAAGGTTCGATTCGAATGCATCCGAAAGCCCTAACGCCATTGACACGCGTTAGCCCGGACCAGGTTGCACTCACACCCCCGTATGGACATAAATCACGCGATGAACCGCGGACAGAGGAAAAGGAAGAGGATAAAAAGTGTTATAAATTTCGGCGGGAATGTCAGAATGGACGTGAACAGAAGAGAAAAGGTGCAATTGTCAGTAAGAGAAATTTCGAGGAATTTACTTGAACTGTTAGTCATGATTCTTGCAACTTTTATGACTGTAATCAGAAGATTATTGCCTGACGTTTATGAACCTTCCACACTGTTATTTATCTTTGAACTGTGTCGCAAATTTATCATATTATTTGCCTTGATTATCTTCCTGGCAGAAATATGAATAGGAACTAAACATGCCAAAGAAGTTATATTATGTATATGTATAGAACGTATAGAGAATGCAGTTCGTTCAAGTGCAAATTAGCATAGAACTTACACAAGGTAAGGTTCCTCATTTCGACTAAAGAGAATAATCTTCGTTGTCACAAACCAAATTAATCTTGTGTGATTCATGTTATAGCGTGGGTGTTGAGTTGATATAACACTTGATACAGCAGGTGCTGAATACGCAATTGCTACAATATTAAGCTGGTTTGAGCTTTAGCTAATTGAAATTTAGTTGTTGGATGGCAATTAGCATGGATTAAACGTTCATTGCTCCTTACTCGATCTCGAAAAGGTTTTCCTTTTCGTTATTAATAGTAATGAATTTATGAAAGCAAATTAAGTTTTTAAGTTGATTTAATCATTAATTAGTTTCCTAGTTATACTTGTTCGACTAACGAAAAATAAGGCAAGAAATAATCAACATTCTTTTTAGTAATTTCTACAATATTTGTATCTTTTTAAAAATTAGTTTGTATTGTTTTGAAAGTCACAAATTCTATTTAGAACTTACATTGAAACTTTAAAATCGAATAAAAATATTTTACCAAGTTTTTATAAATTTTCAGACTCACGAGCTTTATACAACTTCATAATAAGAGTTAAACGCGCAGAAGAGAAAATAAGAAGATACAAATGCTGAATTAATGAACGAGAAGCGAGGTGAAAAGAACAAGAAGCTCGTTACATCAGGAATGTTGTCAACGAAGGTGACAGACAGCGAGGGTAATAATAGGAACGACGCTTTAATAGCTCTCATTGGGGATCCACTGGTATTGCGTGTGAATATTAAAATCCGCAGTAAACGAGTTCACGCTTAGGTGAGCAAAACGCAACGGTAAATTAATTTATACCGGTGGAATAATGACCCAGACGCGCATTGTTTCCATTGTGCGTCCATCACAGAATACCGCGTTAATTAACAACGGTGCGCAGGGCTACGTAAATGACGGGGCTGGTTTCATACAGACGAAGGAAAGGAATCGAGAGACGAAAATTGAACGATCATTTATGGCTGAAAAACAAACAAGAAGATATGCTTTCACGAAGATGGACAAATTTCGCGTATTTTCCTATAAGGTATTTTCATTTTCATATTCATTTCGCAATATATTTTTTAAATTCAATTAATATCTACGCACAAAATATTTTCCAGGAAATAAATTATCAATGGATATTGAAACTAATTTCAATCGACATTCAGAGATCGGCGTGAAGCTTTTGGCAGAATTTTTGGTTTTATTTAACTCGGTACCAGTGATATTTTACATTCCGAAAAATTTCAGTCATTTGGAACACGTATCGAACTGTAACTTCATAAAGTTGTAATCACAGTATCGTGCGGTTATAGCGTGTGTGTGGAAATCCATAACAAAAAACTTTTCGAAATATTTTTTTCGCCAGAGAAAGGAAAAAAGTTCTATCGGCTAAAAATCTTTCTCTCCCTTTTTTATTCCATGTATCTACGTTTACTATTTACAAAAGCCAAAGAAAAAAAAAAAAAACTTCGTGGAACTTTAACGAAGTTTCAACTATTTCCGAGGTTGTGAAACATTAATGGTCACAGGTGCTGGCAAAGCTTTCAAACGAGAGGAAGACTGGAGAATGTGAGTATAAATTGTCGTCCAAATTGCCTTCCAAATAACACAGCCCGTAAGGGTATTTTAAAATCAAAATTGTTATATCTTTTCAAAAATGAAAATCAAATTTATAAAGTTCTTCAAATACTGAGCTTTCGTATCAGCTTTTTTCTTTTTTCAATTTTCTAAAGCATATTTTTACAAGAATATTTCCATACAGATCCTTCAATTTTTTGAGAATGAAACGTTTTGTAAAAATAGGAAGTGATGGTGGAGAGGAAGCAACTATGCGGTCCCACGAGAACAGCTGAAAGGAGGTAAGTACGAAATTAGGGAACTCGTGCAATTAGTGTTTCCGGGAAACGATCTAGTGGAAAAGAGTTAAAGCTGAGAGGGACGGAGCAGCCTGACGGACGGAAATTGGTGGAGTGTAACGCTGAAAAACGAGAGCAGCCGGATGAAAATTGAAGCTGTGCCAAACTCTTCCCTGCGCGCGGCTGTTAAATGGAAAAGAAAAATTGTTAATTTCATATCAATCCCCTTATCGAGATACGAATTTCACCTGTTCTTCCAGACACGGAGAAGTGAACGAAAGTGATAAGAATGAAAGTGGAAAGTAGAAACGATGAGAAAATAAAAGAAGAGCGAAGAGAATTGGGTCAGAGGATCTGGATAAAGATTTGGAAATTGGGTATGCAGAAGAACGTCTGAGCAATGGTTGACTAATACTACTTACAATTCTGTTATAAGTAGTAGAGGTATGAATATAATTCTTAAATTTAACAAATACTTTTCTACAAATTTGATTCCTGTAGATGTTAATATTATCTAAACCTAAAGTAAGCAGGGAAAATTATGAATCGGTAAAATATTGGTTATATTTTTCAGCAAAAGAACAGAAGAACTGAAATTAATACCGACAGGAATAAATGAGCTAATTCGCAGCGATTTGCAACAAAAATACAATCAGCGACAGGAATACATACAATCTGGTTTCAGAAAGGAAGATTTTTTTCATTCATGTTTACAATTACGACTGAATAAAACCTAGAAAAGAGGGAGAGAAAAGAGGGAAAAAGAAGAGAAAAACAATAGGGAAAAAGAAGTAGGTATTCTCAATGAAACCACTAGAATTACGAGTCGCATGTTTCGCGTTGAGAATTGTGCCTTGTGTCGTTCCAGAGACAAAAAGGGAGAAGAGAAAAAAGATAGAGAGAGAGGGAGAGAGGGACAGAAAAGCTTT